GAAAACTGAAGAAATTATCGGCATAAACAAAAATCTCCACTTCTGCTGTTGGTTGTCAGGTCTTAATCGATGGGAAGACATCGAGAAGCTGAACTACTTTCCGAAGTTAGAGGAGGTTCGATTGCAGGGTATTCCCTTACTGCAGGCTTACACCAATGCAGAGCGCCGCAACCTCGTGATAGCTCAGTGAGTTACTTTTATAAAATAAATGTCTTCCTGTCTGTATGACCACTGTGTGAGAAATTTGTCTTTAGATTAGTTTGTTTTAGATTCATGTAGCTAAAGCTCGTTTTGCCAATGTGTGCGCGGCTCTCCTCAGGCTTCCCTCAGTTTCCCTTTTAAACGGCAGCGTTGTGACCGACGCCGAGCGAGAAGATGCGGAGAGGTTCTTCATTCGTCACTACCTACACTGCCCTGAGAAGGAGCTACCTTACAGGTAACCTGCTCTGCCTGCACAGCTTTATTCTAGCTGCTAAAAATGTCGACTAGCTAAACAAACTGATCTTTCCCTCCTCAGATACCATTCCCTGGTAACCAAGTATGGCAAGCTGGAGCCTCTGGCTGAGATCGACCTCAGACCTCGCTGCTACGCTCAGGTCGAAGTTCACTGTGAGGAGAAAGTGGAGCAGGTTAGAGAAGCACTGATTTACAGTTAAAAGAAGAAATGCTTCCTGTTTTGCCACAAAACAACCAGAAATAGTCGTATTTCTTTCTTTATATCTTATACCACGTCCATTACTAGCTTCCCTCCTAGCTTCCTTCCTACTACAGCACTGATTAACAGCGTCTTCTGACCCTGAAAAAGTTAAAAACAGGTTATAATTCTCCTATTAATTCTCAAATTGCACATAGAAATACTTCAAAAATTATATATCCTTTGTTAGATTTTCCCCAATGGAGGTCTCCATTTTTTTTCCACCAGTGCAATGCATGCTGGGTAGATGTTGTTGTTTGTCTGACTGGACTGAAACCTTCAGAGTAAGACAGGAAGGCTAACATTAGCAGAGTTGTTTTTTATTGTATTGCGTTTAACTGTAAATGTGGACAGTGCCGTACTGCGTTGCTGCCGCAGTTTTCAGGAGCCGTTAAACATGAGATATTTGTTAGAACAAAACGGCCCCCACTGTTTCCTCTATTTGAGCAAACACCATTAGCAGAAGCTAACGTGAAACCAAAAGGCTGTTTCGCAATTCACAAGAATGTGAGTACAGACTTGTGTTCTCCCCAAGTTTGTTCTTGACAGCGTGTCCTGAGTCTCCCCCTGGGTCTCCTCCCGGTGGGACGTGCCTGGAACACCTCACCAGGGAGACGTCCAGGAGGCGTCCTAATCAGATGCCAAGCCACCTCAGCTGGCTCCTCCCGATGTGGAGGAGCAGCGGCTCTACTCTGAGTCCTCCCAGGATGACTCTAAAGTATATGTGGTCATGACCCAAAGCTCATGACCATAGATGAGAGTAGGAACGTAGTGTGCTTCGCTATCAGAACCAGTGTCTCTACCCGATCCATACCGGAAGCACGTCCGTACCATCGGCTCATTGACGCATGTGCAAGAAGATTTTCATCCTGGTCGCCATAAATTTGGTAATTATGGTACTAAAAGTACTTATTTCTATCTTTAACCTCTTAACATCCAGCTAATTTTGGACAATCCTCGCCTATTTTGAATACCTAAATGAAAAAGCTAATAAGTTAGGAACTGTAAGCCCAAATTACATGTGCAATACATTATTTGAAAGCTAACGCCCTCTAGTTTCTGAATATATAAAATTGGCTGAGTAGAACACAGACCAAGCTGCATCAGTTCAAACATGACTCAAAGTTGGGTTTTTTTATTCTCAAAATGATAGGTCTTTTTTGAACAGCAGTAATAAAGACATTCTTGAGAAAAAGCAGGTGTCATTGTATTATAGGTGTTCTACATCATGTCAACCATTCTGAATTATTACACCCACTTAAGGTCCACCGGGTCGCCGGTGACCCGGTGGGTTTTAAGAGGTTAAATCACTAAAGAATGCAAATACACATCTTAAAAAAAAAAGTTTTAAGACTTTTTTTGAGAAAATTTCATGCTTTTTACATTTTGTCCGTTAACCTGCTTCCAGCAAAATACGATTAAACCATGTTTAACTGCATTGTTGTTGTTTTTTTCTTCAAATTATGCACTATATGCCATAATGTTAACAAGACGGAAAAAAAATAAAACTGAAGAAGGCTATTTTATGTTTGAATCCAAAGCCTAAAAAGTTAGCTCCCGGAATTAGCGTAGGATCCCATTTCCAGGACAGATTAGGTGCAGACAAGTGGTGAAACAGAAATGCTTTTGATGAATTTATTCTCTCAGGAAATACATTATTAACCTTTAACACATTATAGATTAGTACGCATACTATTTTAGGGGAGGGAAAAATGTAATTTACATTTTTCTTACACAGTAAAATTGAGGGCGACCCGACGTATTTCTGGTTCCACAGATGAGCTGATTTTTTTTTTCTAGCTTTTTATTGTCATTCCATTGTCACAAGTACAGAGCACTGAAATGAACCTTCTGCATTTAACCCATCCTCTTGGGGAGCAGTGGGCTGCCATCATGGGGCGCCTGGGGAGTACTGTGGGGTTAAGTGTCTTGCCCAGGAACCCAGAGTGTCCAACTGTGGGAGTGAGCATAACACAGGAAGACTGGTTCATTTAGCAACAATCCAGTGCTGCCAGTGGCCTTCATGCTGGCTAAACTTGGAAGTAAGGGGTCTAGTGCCCCTAGTGGCTAAACGTATTAGTGTTGCTTTGAAAGTGGGTGGACCTTATTGTCATTAGGACCAGGAGAATGTGTTTTTAGGGCAAATAATCCCTGGTGCTGCCTAAAACGTCTCTCGTTCAAAGCCTCCATCCAACTAGGGCTAACAAAGAATCTTTGTTAGCTTAGCTCATTTTGTTAGCTGGATGGTTATGTAGTTTTTTGTTTTGATTCCCTTTTTTTGTTGGATAAATGGTGTTACTGTGGTTCTGTTTGACTTTGTTTCAGCTCAACATCCGGTTGGACCAAACCGTGGCTGACCTGAAGAAGCAGCTGACGACGGTGGTCCAGCTCTCCACCAACAGCATGAGGCTCTACTACATCAACAAGGACAGCGCCTTTGGTCCGGAAGAACTGAAGTACAACACGCGGGCCCTCCACTCCTACCTCATCCAGGATGGGGATGAAATATTGGTGGTTCCCAAGACCAAGTAGAAGCCTTTTGTTGTGCAGCTTGATAAGAAGAAGTTATTTGCTGGGGATTATGTTGATTGTTAAGTCGATATTGGTTGAAAATAGTTTTGAAGGTGGCTCACCTTTTGTAGTGTAGAGCAGCAGTTTTAAGACGAGCGCCATATTGGAGGCTAGTTGGTTGGCGCTCAGTGAAAATCCAGAAATAACAAGTTTCAGTTTTATTTGAAGGGAAACCCAGTCAAGCGAGTGGATATATCCATCACCGCACAGCAAAACTCCGCTGCTTATGTTTTACATGGCATCCACCAAGGCACCTTCACAGGCAAACTCCACGCCGGCTCGCCCACCTGACTGAACAAGAACCGGTCGCTATGTGGAGACGGACTAATTTCAGGGGCACCGTGGCCTTCAGCACTGTAGAAAATCTCACCAAACAAAAGTAAAACACAGCATGTGTGATCAAAATGGGTCCATTTGTGTGGAAGGACATTTGAAAGTCATAGGGAAATCATATTTAAATGTCAAATCATTCTGGCTTAAACATGTATGTAAATGTATTCTTTATCAGACCATATATTCCCAAAAGATAGAAAATTAAAATCTGTTTATTTCCCCGTTATTTTATGCAGGCCAGTTAGTTCTACGTCAGCCTGAACACCTAAATTCGGCCAATCATATATCAACGGTCATCTGTCAATCAAATGTTTTCGGTCATAGCATCTTGATTCATGTGTCGCAGCTAATATACGCAACGGTTGAAACCAGAATCCTTTCCTTTCCCATTGAGTTGCGTCCCAGTGTTCACGGGGATGGACGTCTGTGTCTTCGGCAGGCGTAGAGCTAACAGAACTGGCAGCGTTGCGAGGCAAGGGCTCAAACATGTACGGCTGGAAGCCTTCTACACCAAACCAAGCTTCTGCCGCCCTGGCGTCCTCTTCCACAACATCTTCGTCCCCGCTTTCCTCCTCTAAATAAAAAATGGATGACGGAGGAGACTCATCCACGACCTCCGACACTAAACTCTCCTCCTCTTGCATGTTTCCTCTGTCCATAGCGTTCCTTGACAGCGTCGTTTCTAAGTCACCAATTTAGTGCTACTTGGTCCCAATGGAATTTCCCATTGGGAACCTGCTAGCACTAAGTTGCTAACTGGTTAGCAAGATGCTTCCCACAAACCGGCTACAACCAAACATGTTTGCGAACCTTCTGCCACAACAATCCCCCCCCCCTTGATAAACGACCAATCACATTCACTTTATTCACTCGTGTAAAGTCGGGCACCACTCGGGAGAATTCAGAAATGCAACGGTAGGAACAGCCGATATCCCACTAAACATTAGAACAGCAATACCAGTATTTTGTAGTTGATACAGGCTTGTGGTTCTGGAAAGGAGGGTCCATCGGATAGTCGAATCTCAGATTCAGGAGGAGCAGTGTGGTTTGCCCAACCAGTCTACATGTGTTTTGTGGATCTGGAGAAGACAGTATGGAGTACCTGGCCCTTTAATAAGTGCTGTTAGGTCTTTGGTTGACCGGTGTCATAGCCTGGTCTGCATTGCCGGCAGTAAGTCGGACTCGTTTCCGGTGAGGGTTGGACTCCACCAAGGTCGCCCTTTGTCACCGATTCTGTTCATAACTTTTATGGACTGATTGAACAAGACTCCTCTGTCAGCCTGGAGCATTCAGATGATGTGTTCTTACCTGAGAGAAGATTAGAAACAGGAGAAAAATGGAGAATAAGGCATTTAGTTCCTTTATCATGAACGTAAAAAGGTTTCTTGCATGAGACCCAATGATTTTTTTTGTGCGACAGTCAGTTTTCCCACCACTCTGTAGTGAAAGTTAGAATCTACAGCTGAACTTTATCACAGTGAAACGATGTTAAAATCTTATTGTTCAGTTTATTTTAGAGTTTCCTTCCCTAATAATATAGATGATGGAGTTTAATGTAAAGCTACATGACGGAATAATTTGAATTCACGAATTAACGGAAGTGATCGGTAGCAGGGCTGACCCAGGACGGATTCAATCACACTTTGTTGTTTGATTTATTTATGTTTGTTCTCTTTAATTTATTATTTATTTATTATTTTTTTGTGATCAAATGTATTTTATGTTTTATGCTGTTTGCATTGGAGTAATTTTTCCACATTACTGTTTCAGTTGCAACCAAAAAGTGTATAAACATCAACCACTTTTACTGAGAATAAACTATATTAGAGTTTGTTTTGCATAAATTTTACTAACACTGGATGATGCTGTAAACAGCCCAGCAGTGAGTTATTAGGAGGTGTTTGAATGATCAGGTCGTCTGATTAATGATAGCAGGTATAATTATCAGGAATGCAGGATCCCACAATCTAGTTTAGCTTTAAGCCCCATGGAGGCCAAAAATGTTGATGCCCGAAACTCCTTCTCATTAAATAGAACAAGGCTGATCTAAATAGGAAGATTAGCTTCGCTTTTTAAAAGCAGTTTAACATCTAAAACACTTTGTTTTAAAAAAAACATTTGGTGTCAGGATGTGTAGAAATTTGTAGATGGATCCAAAATGCAGAAGCGGAGGCAGAGATGAGTTCATGTAGATTTAATGAGGAAGGAATATAAAATCAGCAAAATCAGCTGCAAAAAATCCGCCTGCAAAGAATTCAGCTTCCAAAACAATTGCCTGCAAAAAATTCAACTGCAAAAAATTTGCTTTCAGAAAGATTTAACTGCAAAATTGTCGACCTTTTGATGAACTGAAGCCAAAGCAATCTACACTTGATGCAGTCCAGCAGCTTCTAGCCAGGGAAATTAGGTCATTTGATCACATGACTCAACAGTTGGGCATAGCTTTTTTCGTGGCTGAATGAGGAGTTTTTCATCTTAAATAGAGATGATTACGAAGGTAGCTACTAATAGACGGCTATTAGAGTCTTCCATCTAATGGGACTGGGTGAAATAACTGAGCCGATCACAGCTAGTGCTGCACCCCCGTCTGCCAAGGCTCTTGGTTTGATCCAGAAGAAGCGGCTGGCGGCAAACTATTTTGTTTCTGAAAAAATGAGCTAATTTCATTGGCTGGAAGCTGCTCAACTGCATCGAGTGTAGATTGCTTTGGCTTGAGTTCACCAACAGTTCGACGCTTTTGCAGGCAAATTTTTTGCAGCTGAAATTTTTGCAGGTAAAAATTCAGTGTAAAGAATTTCATGTGTACAAAAAAGACAGATTCCAATGAGACAGTTTTTCTTCCATAGAACTGGTTAGCAGAGAAAGAACTGGAAAACCAATGGGAATGAGGGCGACATTAGGGGGCGACGAAGAGTAACTGGGAAGTATAACCTAAAGATAACTGTATACAATGAATGATAAAAATATAGCAAAAACTAAAGAATGCTGAACAGGAGAAGTAATACAAACATATATACATATAAAACTGAATAACTTAAATCCAAGCCTAACTGAAAACCCAAAGTGAAACTAAACATTACTAAAAATCCCAGCATGGCGGATCATAACATGCAGCTCCTTCCTTTACATCCTAACATTAAAGATAATATATTCATTAGAAATAGTATTAAATATAAAGAGCTCAGTTTCATTTCAGATTTAAATGGATTTTTATGTATAAAAGTAATAAATAAAGCAACAAAAGGTATAAAGCGACATTTAGACAGACTTAGAAAACGTGTTTATACATCACAACATTTCTTTTTGTACAGCTTTCATGACATTTCCATGTTCTTAAAGTGCAGCAGTGATCAAACGTAAACAGTTTAGCAGGAAAAACATCGTGCTAAAATTTACAGGTCAGTGTTTAGACTAGAACGAGTGAGTCTGAATATTTAAACAAGCAACTAAAGCGTTTCTCTTACTAACAGAACGAGATGGAGATTAATAAAATACTTTTAATTAGTAAAGTAATTTATAGATTAGTTTGCTAATAAAGTGATTGTTAGCTGCAGCGCTATTGATCAGCCTATATTACCAGATCAGTGTGTTTTATAAATTTTCACCACTCAGAAAATGGATTCTTTTTTTTTTTTACAGTGTCCTCTCTGCTATTGCGGCAATAAGAATAATTGTCTTGATGCCAAAAAGAGCCCAACAGGTTTTACTTTCACCAGTGGAGCAGTACGGCTATCGCCATAGTGATCCGCTTGATTTATGCATATAAAAAGGTTTACTATAATTATGCAGGGAGTTTAACAGATTATATGGACACTGCAATGTAGGTAGAACAGGAAAGGAAAAACGGAAAAAGGAGAAAGATGAAAGAAAGAGGAGATAAAAAGGAGATAAAGATAAAACATTTTCATTCTGCTTTATCACCTGCAAAGAGATGGAAAAAGAACAACTAACCGATATAAGAGATACAATAAAGTAACACCTAGATACTATCGCTGAAGTATAAATAGTATTATTTATCCTGACATGTATGCTGTGGAAGCTGAAGATCAGAATCTGGGCTTTCTGTGTGGAAGTGAATCTCTGAGTACCTGGAAAATTGATTCTTTTATCTCTTGGTTTCATCGGCCTCCTCTCTCTAACGTGTTTCCATTTCTGTGATAAAGCCTGTAGCCTTTTCCAAAGAAAGCAGTTTAAGTACTTTAGTTCTATGCTGCTGAAATGTTCTGGTATTTAAAACGTCTTTAGGTGGTACTTTGCTCCTTCCTTTAGACGTGTCCCAGTGCACCGCAGTATTTCATCCTTTATTAAATATGCAGGATGCTGTTTGCCATTGCAGCTTTGGAAGCGTGTAAACCTCCCAGGGAAGGATGCAGATGTGATCGTAAATCTCTGCTATGACAGCATTGATGCACAAAAGCACAGCAGAGAGAGTTGGTGGGAAGAAAAACAAACTTCTGGTGACAACTCTGGCTTTTTAGACAGGCTGGCTCCTCTATGCTGTGGTACACAGATACACTGCAAAAATGTTCTTAGAATAAATGTATTTACCCCAAATTTGAGTAGAAAAAATAAGATGATTTGCAGATGGAAAGAGCATTTTACCCCTAAAATAAGATAATTTCACACAAAAAATGTTCTCAGTGTAATTGAAAAAATGTTTTTGGGTATCTATTAATCATATTTAATTACTTTAACAAAATTGTTTTATTTCCTACCATGTTAACATGAAAAAAATTTGTTAAAGTAACAAAATATGATTAAGTAAATGCCAGAAATAGTTGCTTTATTTAGTCTAGATATTGTGCACTTGAAATAACAGACTTCTATTGTTTTGTTTTGATTTCTTATTTCAAATGTCAAAAGTGTGAAAGTGTCTCATTAATCTGCTCAACTCAAGAAAAACAAAACATTTTTCTTATTTTAAGAAAAAAATAAAGTTAGATTTATATTTTTTTGGTGGTGCAACCAGCTCAGGCCTTTACTCATTTCATGATATTCTGGACTGTTAAAGGAGAAATATGCAAAGCTCATCTTTATGGTTTAGAGTCCTAAAAAAAATATTTCTTATCCTTAAATTTTAATGAGCTTTGCAAAGTTGCATCTACGACATTTCTTTGGGATTTCCTCTGATTGATTAAACCCAAGCAGTGTTTATTGGTGACATGGAACAATCATTTTTATAGATAAAAATCTGAAAAGTGTGGCAAGCATGTATTCGGTTGCACATTTGTTTGATTCGACTACTCCAGCTTCATTACTACACTGTATTTTTTTTCCATCTGCTGTAAAGTTTTTCCTGTACTTGCAGCTGAAAAATCTGAACTTTCCAACTATGAAACAATAAAGTCTAATTCTATTCAGAACCTCATGTTTCTGCAATTATGGCTGCAAGTTTTTTGGGGTCAGAGAATCTATGATCCCCATATTGGACGCCTTCTTGTTCCTATGTGGCTCCGGTGGTCGCTGTTCTACGCTGTTATGTTTATAAACAGCATCCATCTTGAATGAGGACGTCTCCTAGAAAACTTCAAACCCATTTGCCTAAACCGGAGGTCTTCCACAGGGGGTCTGCGACCCCTAGGGGATCCACAGAGGTACTGCATGGAGGTCACGAAAGTTTTGGATGATTATTTTTTTATATATTCCTCCCTGCAAGGAGCTCTTTCACGCTGGGCACCGTTTCATTCACAACACCTGTCCCATCAACCAGGAATCAGAAATACTTTAATAATCCCAGGGAGAAATTACTTTAGTTACATTACTCCATCTGTAATAGAGTGACTATAGGAGCAGTTTGATAGAACACTATTTCATGCAATATATATAATCAGGGGGTCCCTGCTCCATCTGGCCATCAGTTTGGGGTCCTTGGCTTGGAAAACGTTGAAGACTCCTGACCTAAATTGAACCTTTCAAGCTGAGCATGACCTGGACTCCTCAGCAATCCCTC